TATTTACCTTCTGATCGGCTTTGCAAATAATAGGCACAAAGTATTTTTGTTTGAGTGGAGTCAAGTAGTAGAGTACCGCCAGCCGATTTAATAATGCCATCAGCCGAATGAATAACTTCCCTTCAAATAGAGTAACTGGGTTGAAATACTTTCCATTTTCCTGGCTTGCTCTTGCTCATTTTATGCGCATATTTGTGTACTTATTTTTGTTATTACTTTCTGCAATAAAGCAACTTTTCAATCTTATTTACGTTAATGCGAAAGTGAATTGCTTCAGTTTACATTCAAGTGCAGAATATGGTTGCCTTAAGAGCACCCATAGTAACATCGATGTGCGATGCTCAACGTTGAAGGGAAAATTATACGAAAATATGTTGGCTCGACTTTTCACAGCCTTTCACAAAATTGTATTGTTCATAGTTAGAACTTTTCCAGTGGTGCGTGGATGCTGGGTACTCAACGACAGTCCAACCAACCAAAAAAAAACTTGGCTAAAGCTGTGTTCGTTTCGATGTCAGTCTGTCCGTATGCCGGTCTTGTTTATTGCTGCCAAATAACTGAGAGGTACGCACTCGGCAAGCAAGTAAAAGTTTTGGTCGAAATGTGTTCAGCAGTTAACATACTCCATTGGTTACGTTCAGTATTTGTATTTCATCGGATGAGGAAGTAAACTGTGAAATGCTTAGGTATTGATGGATTCTTTGGATATTTTGCGATATTGCGTACAATTTGGCGCAATGCGTTTCTTTCTTAAATTGCTTTATTTTCTATTGTTTTCGTACGTTTGCTTATTACTTATTGCCGTAACCGTAGTTGCTGATTCTGGAAAAGCACTTCGATTTATTGTTGGTGGCAGTGTAGCAAATGCTGACGATGTTTGATGTTGATGTTGATGTTTGGTAGAAGCGGCTTTAGCATTTTAAGTAAGTGTAATCTCAAAGAAATCGTCAGCTCGATATAATATTTTCATTGGCTATTTTGCTACTTAGTAATTCGAAGAAATTTTGTTAACAATCATTTAAGTTCGTTATTACTTTTATTTTGTATCCCTAATTGCTTTTATGATTTTACCTTGTACGAGTACGTACTGCAGTTTAAGTTGATATTCTTAGTTCGACGTTATGCATTCAGTAGATATTTCAATTTAGAACTTCAGATGTGCACATGGGGATATTGTAGTTTAGTATTTGTAGTATTAAACACTTGCATGTATTTTTGTTTAAATTTGTTTATTTGCCTTTAGGAGAACATTAAATAATATAAGTTTAGTTCTATGTGGCAGGATATTATGACACGTTTCTTTGAAATTATTATTCGGTCTTATTTTACAAAGAGCGTTGCAAATTTTATTTGGAATTTCTAAATTTGTGATATGTATCTCATATGTATTTACTTTCAATATTAAAGAAAATAATTTGGTTTCAATTAAAATGTATTCGAATTTAAATACACTGAATTTAAATAAATTTGAACATATCAAATAGAATGTATATTAAATAAGTGATTCGCTGAATAAATGTTTACAAAATTTTAAAGTTCTAATAATGAATTAATGTACTTTAAGTCTTATACGAAAACTGAAAAAGAAATAACTAACTATGCTTTAATATATCAAAAAAATCAATTATTGATAACTGTAGTAAGGATAATTAACTCAGATACGTAGTACTGCCTTATGTTCTTCAATATAGCAACATTATTCTATTTTCCAACATATAGTAATAGTGAATTCAGATGTTGCGTGTTTGAAGAAGAGTATATTACCTTTTGCTCAAAAAGTATACGGATTTTGTTGTTTGTTGAGTCTAAGTAATAGACCTTTTTCAAAAATTCTTGTTGTACGCGATTTTTTGACTAAACACGGCACCACTTTCATCGCTCATGCACCATATTCGCCAGATCTGGATCCGTGCGACTGTTTCCTGTTGTCGAAACTCAAATTGCTCCTTCGTGGTAAGATTTTTGAGTCGATTGAATCGGTAAAAGAGAATTCGCTTAAGGAACTAAAAGCCATATCTGCACGGGCCTACGAAAAGTGTATGGAAGATTGGGTTAAGCGTTGGCATATGTGTATCGCTTCAGAATGAGTATATTTTGAAGGATATAAAAAAATTTGGAATAAAATTAAAATTTGTGTGTTTTATTTACAAAATCCGGGTACTTTTTGAACTGGAGATATTAGAATTCAAGTTATTAAATTGCAAGGTTTTGGTTCAGATATATATTTGTATAACAATTTGCATAATTTAACATTAAATAATACTATATATACAACTCTTTTACTATGAAAACTAGATGGTAGAAGGACTAAGTGAAATTTGTGAATATAAATGAACAGCTTATTCATTTATTATAGGAATATGAATGAATATTTTATAGTATTTTAGTGGAATAGAATAAAATATGAAAAAAATTTAAAGAAAAATTATTTATAAGGCATGGTGCAACGGTTTTGAAAGTAGATAGCATATCACGTTTTTGATTAGTAAATCTGAATTCATACTAGATTTATATTCGATCTGTAAAAATTTGTTACCTAATTGAATGTTTTTAAAGTAATCTAACATATTTGTAATAGTATGATAAGACAATTATATTTTTTATAAATACATATGCTAAATCAAAACACACTTAACCTGTCAAGTCATAGCAATCAGCTATTAGTTTCGAGCTAAATTAACAGTATAATAGGGTAAAGTGTTACAAATTAATATCAAGTGTAAACGATTTCGATTTAGATTTACCAATTCAAAATGAAAATTGCACTAAAAGTGTATTTAAAGTGAAGCTCGATTAATAAATACCGCAATTTTTAAATTATTTCTTAATATTTATATATATAACGGTTATGTATATCTTTTGAAATGAGAAATTTGAGTTTTTTAATTATTTGGAGTTTAGCGTAGATCGTTAT